GACAGCGTGAAATGTGGGCTGCTGTAGGTGGGAGGCTTCTGCATCATGCACAAGGAGGACCTGAAGCGGGTCGCACCGCTGTGGCTCAAATTCTCAAAGGCCGTGCGCCATGACCCCGACGTGCGTGTCCATCGCCCTGTCTAATTTTTTTTAGAATTTGGGTTGGGTGTAGGGTTGAGAGTTAATTGTCGACAAGCCACACGTTTCCCACTTCTGTCCTCCACAGATGTGCTGTGAATGTTTGCTGAGACGGCCCTCTCGTTAGCTACCTACCGGTCCTTTCAGGTTGGATACAATTGCAGATTTTATGTGCTCATTATTGCGCTTCCACACAGTGTGAAAGTGGGTGTGGTGTTTAGCTGCCAGTGCTGGAGAAAGGCTGCTGGTGCTGAGGGGGTTGCATGGTTGATGCACAGGCGTGGAATTTGACAGGGGATGCTTTCACGCACAACCCGGGGGACAAGCCCTGGATCAGCGAGATGTACGGCTACTCGTTTGGCACTGCTTCTGCCGATGTGTGGCACCATGTGGACTATGAGGCCATGTTGTATCCGGGCTACACCACCTATGGTGTGTGCCTGCTTTCCTTCAGTAGGTGCATCCACGAGTGCTGCTGTGTGGGACCTTGGTGCACATCATGTTCGAAACAATCTATCACAGTATATTGCAGACAAGCATGTGGGGTAAGGATTGGTTTTGGTGCCTGTTGCAGCTGTGAATAGTGTGCAGAAATTCTTTCACATTTGCAGATGGTGCAAATCTTGTTAGTCTGGTACATGGCTGTTTGCTGGTTTGCAAGGCAACGCTGTCTGTCTATCTGTCTGGCGCTCAAACAGCTTAATGCAGATTCTCCATTGCCATAACATTTTGGGCCAATTGCTCTAAGTCTCTATTCTAATTTTACTGCACACAATGCCAGAGCACAGCCGTTATCTGACACTGCTGGCGTGTGTGATGCTTGCAGTGCCGCCAAAGGTGCTGCACTACGGCCTGCACTGGGAAGTGGGCAAGACGGGGTATGAATTCGACAAGCACTGGTTCTACGACTTTGATGCGCTGCAGTGCCCTCCCTGGAACCTGACTGGCAACTCCAGGGGCGGCCTGTTCAGGCACCCTCCCCACCCCGCCACCTACCCCACTAAGGTTAGCAATGTGCGCTTTTCCTGTTTTCATCCTGGGTGCCTGCGTCTTCGGGCCTCCCTCTGCTCTGTGCTTGTGTTATGTTTTATGGTTTCTAATTTTTAGGGTTCAGGGTTGGGTTTCCCTTACCCCTAAATATAGCTCCTTCGCATGCACATCATTCAGTCGACAGGCTTGTGCGCTCCTTGCATTCACGAGTCCTCGGGGCGCCTTCCTTTCCAGGCCAGCAGCAAAGTGCAAATGGCTGATTTGTAAGTATCAATGTCAACATCAATGGATGCACAGCCCACTGCTGCAACGCCTTTTCTTCTAAATGAAGCACTGCTCTTGCTGCAGGACGGTTTCTTGAACCATGCTCATGCTCGCTAGGTGTATGGATGTCAGCACAGCTTTTTGATGTCAGTCAACGTGGTTTATATTCACATTTCAGGGTTTTAGCATATATAAATAGAAACCTAACTCTTAGTACTGTCATGGCAGGGGTTTGATCTGTTGGTGGACATGCTGGCGGCGGAGCCGATGATAGTGCTGAACGCTGCCTTCTGCGAGCTGCACAGAAAACGCTGCCCTCCCTCCGAGCAGCTTCTCAAAGAGTGCTCATATGTGCGCCCTCTATACTTCAGGACTTTATAGGGCCTAGAGTTTTGAGATTATGCCCTTTATATCAAAATAGAGGCCATGATACAGAAATTAAAAAATCTTCATGCATATGCCCTTGCTGAAACACGTTGTGGCACTTGATGGGAACACATGACCATGTTCTGGTAGTGACCAGTATATGTATAGCATGCATGAGAGGGAAAAACATGGTTGTCTTACAAGGCTTTACTTATTCCCTTCTTCCCCTTAACCTTGGGCAGCTGGCCCAAGCTGGTCCAAATTTCTACACCTGCCATATTATTTCCCAGGAGATTGAGTTGCGAGGGTCTGAACAGAAAAGACAAAGGGATTCGGTTTGTCTGTACAGGCAGAGCAGCTGATGCGGGACTTTGACAGCATTGCGTCTGGGCTCCAACTGAACCTGACCAGCAAGGGCTGCCTGGACAAGGATGTGAGAGCCCGCCTACTTTCTCATCTTGCTGTTCAGCTGTCTTTCAAGTTACCCTTCACTTGTGAAGTCCGGCTCTTCGTTCCAAATGAGCCGTTGTCAATTCTCCATATTCTTGCGCTTGAGCCGTCCAGCGATTGCTTCGTATCCGTCCTCCATTCCCCAAGAGATTATTTCTCAAACACTTAAGTTAGGGTAGCGCAGTTTAGGGGTTAGGGTTTAGGGTGAAGGGGTCTTTATAGTAATATTTTTCTTCCTGAATGCATTGGTGGATTTAGGTTTTACACACACACAAAATCCTAGTCAAGGTGTATAGCAAAGTGTTTGAGAGATATTTTCTGCCTCCATTTCCAGATAATGTGTCATCAGACTGATCCCTGATGACGGTTGCAGGAGCGGTGTCCCAAGTGGGCAGGCAACAATGAGTGCATCACAAATCCGAGCTGGATGAAAACCAACTGCCGGTTGTCGTGTGGAACTTGTCCGCCACCAGCGCCATTAAAACAGGTGCCTGTCTTCCCAAGTGTGCCTCTGTCAAATCTGCCTCTTGCTACTTCTTGAGACTGGATGATCTGCCATGCTTTGCTCCCATAGCACGCCACATGCACTTGCAGGACATCAACCATGTCTTACAAGCCATGTTGTGACTGTGTAGACACCTAAGCTCAACAATGTCGGGGTATAGTCAAGTTATGCAGACAAGCGGTTTTAGCCTGCAAAAGAATTCATTCTGGAATAATCCTCCGGAAGTACTTCCATGCAAGCAAAATTGTGTTCGCTTTTGGTGAACAGGCGAGTGTAGGCGTGGGAGGCAAATTGAGGGGGATTGGCAGTTTGCTGGGGCTTGGGGGAGAAGGGCGGTGGCCGCAGCAAAAGGCGGTGGTGTCTGAGATTGCGGCACTTGAAGATGCGTCAGGCACTGCAGTCGGTCTGGTGTGCAGCGTAACTTAACTTTCAGTCTCATGCATGACCTAGAAGAGCTGCCAGACGACGCTTGCAGGAAAATTGATCTGTCCTGCAAACTGTCTGGGGACTGGATGACGAGATTACCCTTGCCGCTGTCTAATTGACTGGAAAATTTGCCAAGTGGTAGCACGTCCATCTTTGCCTTCTCTTTATTATGGCATGCTCATCCTATCGTTCTCCCTGCTTGGTTAACTTGTTGTTGTTGCTCGAGCCCTGGAAGGCCTGTAGTAGTTGAATACAAACCTGTAGGGACTTGTGATCTGCAAGCCTCTCTTGAGAAGGCATCTGGGTTTATATTTGTGTTTTAGGGTTTCGGGCTTAATAGGCTTTAGGGTTAGGGTTTAGTGTTAATATATAAGTGTGAGCGATGCATGCAGGGGGATAGGACAGGGGAGGCGCATCAGCTGCTGCTGGGGGGCGACCGGAGAGCGCTTGACAGGCAAGATGTGACATCCGATGTGGCATCGTTCCTGCATCGCCTGGGCTGGGTCGGTGAGTGACCTACAGCGTCAACGCCCTTTTATCATACTGCTGCAGTCAGAGACTCCAAGACTCCCTGTCACCTTCCTTGCTGCCTGGAGTACCGGTGCAATGCACTATGCAATGGCATAGGATTGGCAGAAGTGACATGCACACATGGGCCCCAGGCATGCACGAAGATGGTGATAGATCTGGTGCCAATATGCCCATGCTTCAAGGTATCATGAGCTGCTGATAGAAACGCTCGGAATGTCGCTGCTTGTGCGGCTTAAGCTTTGCGACACAGATCTTGACTTGAACATGAAGTGCATGCTCCTTTAATATGCAAACTTGAGCCTGCACCTTTATCTCCTAAAGAGTGCCCTTCTCGCCTTGGACAGGGCTGCTGCTGTGGTGCGGAACAGCAGCGCTGTTTCTGACATTTCTGCCATCGCGGCGTTTGCGGCGTTCCCTGCTGCGCAATGGCGCCGGCAGCAATGGGTCTGTGTCACGACCGGCCACGCCCAGCAGCACGCAAAAGCACCGCCGCTCTGTCTGACCTGCCTTCTTGTGCGTTTTGAGATGGATACTTGCGCACCTACCCAAGGACTACATAGTGGACTTCTGTAGCGGTGGCACTGGCAAAAGCTTCCCCCAAATCAGCTGTGAGCCTGAGCACAGGATGTTTTGCTTGGGTAGTGGTCTATTGAGTATTGGCATATCAATTTTATAGATAGGATCCCTCTGTTGTACTTGTAAAGCACAGCCCAACTTGAAAGATTTGTTATTGACGGATATGTGAACTGCCAAGGGCAGATCTTCACATGGGCCAACATGTCATCACTTTTTTGCACAACTCAAATGGCAAAATACTTCAAGCTTAGATCTTTCCTTCTCTTCAAGATGCCCATGTTGATCTGGCAACTATTGAACACCGGGTTTCAGAATCCTTCGTTTCCGAGGAATATGATGCTCTGTTTCACGAGCAAGTCTTGAAAATTACATATCACCAGCCATGAGCACACTGGCCCAGGAGCATTCCGGTGCACTCAAGCTTGGTTAGAGGCCTCTCAAGATGCCTTGAACCTGTGTGAGGTCCTCCCTAAGTGCGGTCCCACACTGTCCGGGTCCTGTGTGAGCCCCTCTCTAAGTGCGGATGTTGTTGTTGCTGATATTGACCGAGCACGGGTAAGGAGAACGAGCTCGCGCCGGGGAATGAATATATCGTGCATCCAGCGCCAGGGGGATGAAATTGGTTAGGCCCCGGAGCTCGTTCTCCTCACCCGTGCCACATCAACATCAGCAGGATCCCGTGCAAAAGTCCGAGGGTGAGCGTTGGGTGAGAGTAGGCGGGTTATAGGCTACAAGAAAAACGTTTCGAGAGAACGCATCGGTAGTCCAATGGTCAGGATATGCGCCTTCCAAGCACGAGATCCGGGTTCAATTCCCGGCCGATGCATTCCTTTTTTATCTGTGTGGCTATTTTTGACTTTCGGGGTGTTTGGTATCGCATGTGAAAACGAGGCAAGTGAGGCCTAAAAATTCCTTGCTGTACGTACTTCAGTAGAAGAAGAAGGCATACCTGCGCAGTAAACATCTAGCGATCGATCTATAGAGCCTGGTGTACGCTCACTGGTGGTCCAATAATGGACTCCAATCATCTCCCAGATCGGTTAAAATTAATAGGACTTATCGTATCTAGCGTTCGTTGTGCAGAGGCAACCGCTTCTGTTCCTGGCGCTCACACGTCCCTTGTTTACTTTGCATCTCTTGATCTTATGGCCATTCATGACATCAACACAAGCCATGGCAAACTGCCGTAGCCAACCCCTTGAACTTTACCAATGGATCCTCCTGCACAGAAAATATTTGCTGTTCTCGCCAATATCCACGCCATTGCAGAACTCAATCACGTCACTGCTGCAGCTGGTTTTGATGCGACGGGGCCATGCGCGGAATGGACTGTCTCGATGGAGCGGCGGGAAATTTTGTCACAGGAGCAGATGCCGCCATGTGCTTGCTGTAGTCAATCAGCTCCTGAGTCCGTCTGTGCCTGGCTTGGGGCCTGCACAAATAAGAAACAGATGCCTGAGACACATGGACATGGCACAGCCACCTAGATTTCAAGCCTGCCAGTCAGTCAGTCGATAACATCGTTTCCAGCCACCTAGGGCTGATCAGATGTCTGTGACTCTGATCGTCAGAGTCAGCACCCAGTATGACATCTTGTTGTAGGCCTCTCCCAAAAGAAAAGTCCTTTCCACCATTACAACATGCGGGTGTTCATCTGATGCATTGCTCTCTGCTCTTCTGATCAGTAGTGACCCTCGTGCCCTACTTGTATCCCGCATCAAGTTGTTTCACCATCACCATTTCTGGCCACTGCTTCATAGCGACAAAAGATGGTGGACGCAATGGTCCTGCAGATGGTTGCAAGCACTCGCAGATAAATTTTTTGAGAGACTGAGAGACACTCCCTATGAGCATGATATGAGCAAGGATCGTTATCCTGAGATTGACGTTGCTGATGTACCTGTACGTTTCTGCGAGTTCGCGCTTGTTGGCGGCAAGGGCATGCTTGGCGGGCACGAGGTGGGCCCACCAGAACTCTGACAGGACTTCGAAGCAGGCTGCCCAGTACGCGCGGTCTCGGGGAATGTAGAACAGTGCCGAGCCGTTTACTGTCCACATGTAGATGTTGCACCACTCCCTGTCAAAAATCTCCATCAGGCCTTGCACCTGCACCCCAGCCACACGGATATTCAGAAACAGAATATACCTACCGCGGTAACGCATAAACCCTAGTCCCAACCCTTAAACTCCCTACTTTCCCCTCCGACGGCGCAAAACCCCTCCATGCCACACAGTCACTTGCTCAGTCACCTTGAGCGCTGGTAGGAGTGTAGTACAGTGCCCATTGTGCTCATCAGGAACTACAGAATTGAGCTCTGGGCCGGCTGCTGGGCAATTCAGGGGGCATTGCATTCCTGCTCAACCCACAAGGAGAGTCCCACTTCTGCGCATTCAGCGCGAGGTTCCGCACACCGCACGGATATTTTGCACGTTCAATCAGCCATTGTACAAATCAAAGTCCATTAGGAAGCCCGCCTGCACATGTTGGGTCTGTGCTCAGAGCGTGACAGCTGGACCTAGTGAAGAGAAGGACTCACCTGCGGCATGTAGTACCACGGCGGCTGTTTCGGCGGCGCGGCCGCGGTCGGGCGGCCCCGATTGAAGGGGCACTTGATTTCCAGCACTCCCGGACCGCTTCCCCCTGCCATCACTCCCTGCTGCCCCGCACCTGCATTGCAAGCGCTCTTCAAACCGGTACTGTTTGGGCAGTTTCACCTCACAGTAATCCCTCCCACTTTCAGAAACCAGAGTCACTGCCGTGTTGGCCTTTTTGCACCGTAAGTTCTGTCTCCAAGTTTGCCAAGAGGGGAATGAATGGCAATACAAGTGCTTGGGAAGGGCGGTTCTCAAGCGAATCCCGGGCATATTGGTTACAGGTGCATGGATTGCAAAATCTTCAGAGACGTCAGAGTCAAAGGAAAGTGACTCTCCGACTCTCTGAACTAGAGAATCAGAAAAAAGGGGGTCAAAGAGTCAGATAGTCAGAGAAGACAGTCAAAGTCATACCAGGTGTGACAGCCAGGCTGTCTATGAGGCCATCCGGAGAGGCGCCCAGCCAGCCATGGACGACATCATCGCGCAGCACAGAGAAGCGGCAGGCGCTGACGAGGTGTCCAGTCAGCTGTTCATAGCGCGCCAGCGCGGCCGCCTCGCGCTGCGTGCCCCAGTCCGTCGCCTCATTTCCCTTGAAAGCCTCGCGCAGCTGCAGCTTCTCCTCCCACAGCGCTATCCGCCCCTCCGGCCAGAACCTGATCAGGCAGCCAAACTTATATTATCTGCATTTTTTACTGAAATTTGACCAGGTAACTAGGCATTTATGCAGACTCCTTGCATGTTTCTTTCCATCAGCGTCCCACCATCCAGCAGAAGATGGCAGGGTAACGACCCACCAAGTAATAGTTGGCAACCAGCGCTGCTCAGGCCTGTATGTATAATTCACCAAAAAATATCGACATGCACTCACGGAGTCAGAAAAGATGGTCATTGCAGGCCCATCAAAGGTCAAAGGCGCTCATTCACAAGGTCTATTTCTGCTGCAGCCCGTCCTCTCACCGAACAAAACTTCCACACAAGTAGGGCTTCTACAGAGCAAATACAAACCTCGGGAAGAACTACTGGTCAACAGGGTGGACGAAATACTGCACCCGAGCGCGTTCCCAAAGGCGGAGGCCGTCAGCCGCTTGTCCCTCTCTGCATGCCACTCAGCTGTCCGCTGCTCCCCCTCGCCCATGTCGAGCTGCTTTGCTGACTCCTGCACATAATGCATTAGTATTTCTGTGAACTTAATACCAGGATTCCTCTAATCAGGTGGTAGAGGAGAAAGTGTCCACCTGCTTGTCATGCCAAGAGCAGCAGACACTTCTGAATCAGCACAGGCATGTGACATGACCATACCCTGCACCGGCCTGCAAACAATCAGACAGCACCCCAAGTCCCTCACAAGCATGCACGCAGCATGCCCAAAAACAAAACAGCTCGGCCAGCTGGGCTCATTTTGCCCTCTGGGATTGTCTACATGCCGGTGTCGTCTGAGATGTGGATGCAAGAGGGACCCACCAGGTCTGCGATTGCATGTGCAGCGGCGGCCTGTGTGAAAGACGCTCGGAAGGCAGCCGTCTCCGGTTTCACTTGCCGCTTGCCTTGTTCCACAGCAGCTGCACAGACATCTCTTCCCTCTGCTGTTTCCAGAGGCCCCTCAGATGTTTCCACAGCCCCCTCTACAGCATCTGCAGCAAAGTGCCATGCTCAGAGCACCAGATCTCAAAAACAAGCTTGCCACTATTATTGTTATTAATACAGGTCGGCAAACCCAAAGCCAAATGGCCATACACACAGCGTCTCTGCAGCCACACCGTGGGGCCTCTTGACCTAGTCTGCAGCCACAGCGCCTTCTTATCTAGCAGCAAAATGACATGGCATAAAGGCATGGAGAGATGAAGTCACAATGGTACCATATACTCGAATGTCGCTGTCTTAGCAACAGAATTGGAAGGGCCTGAATACCTGAGCCCACTGAGAACTCCTCATCTTCTCCCACTAGTGCATGCATCATACTCCCATTCTCTGCCAGTTTCTCAGAAATGGATAGCTCTCTATCAGCGTTGAGCTGAAGCAGACTGTTTCCATCTCTTGCTGCAGACATGGGCTGGGGAGGGAACGCCGCGGGCGAGCCAGGCTGCCAGCTGTCCGCCAACGCAGCCGGCAGATCAGCCTCGCTGAGTCGCGCAGCTGTTGTGTCACTGCCAGGTGTCATGAATCGGATGCCGCTGTACCGCTGTGATGTCAAGCTGACTGGACCCTGACCGGACTCCCCACCCAACCCTGTCCCAGCTCCCATATTACCTCCCAGCCCTCCAGATGCACTCGCTTCTGTGCTTGCGTACAAACTATGAGGAGCGGCGCCGCTGTTGGTACCGTTCCCGCTGACAAGGTTCTTCAGATTCGATGCGCCGCGCACTCGTGGGGATCGTCGCGAGGGGGAGGCGGGCGCCCCCCGCTGTGAGGTGGAGGCCTCCGCTGCCCCGTGTGCCGACTGCTGCGCGCCTGATCTGGCTTGCTCGCCACTGGTTGATTTCACGGCGGCGGGCGCTTGCTTGCCTGATCTGGCTGTGGCAGCATCACTCGACCTTGTGGACACAGGCTGCTGGGCGCCTGATCTGGCCACGGCAGCACCATTCGACTCTGCGCTTGCACGCTGTTGTGTGTTTGATTTGGCTGGGGTGGCGTCAATTGGCGAAGTGGCTGTAGAGAGGCCGGCGGGCTGCATGGCACTGACGGCCATTGAGGCAGGGCCGAGCCGGGGCAGCATGCGCGGCAGGGGGCGCGCTGCGGGTGGCGTTCCCTGCAGCGCCTCGGCTTCCCGCATGGCGTGCGCGACCAGCGCGCCACGATCTGCCACCGACATCTGCTCATACCCCCTGAACCCTGTGCCATGAAACCCCCAGTTTTACTAGTGTTTTCGTGCATCTCTGCACCCTGCATGCAGATGTCCTGAACCCCTGGCTATTATCATGAGACACATGCATGTAAAAGGCTAGAAAAGACAAGACAAGGTCGGTATGCGGGGCTGTCAGCCATCTGTGTGAACCACTTTGCACATAGAAAGCCATCAGGACGCCCTGGGTTGGCCAGGAGGCATTCCTTAAGATGCCCGTCCGTTTGCCAGCTGGGCTCATGGCCATGTTCATATGCTAAGCCCAGATGGGAGCCCACCTGCCGCCAGCTCTGAGAATGTCATTGGGGCGCCACAGGATAGAAGATCGTTGGAGCGGCGCACTGCAAACTCTGCAAAGCGCTCCGCTGTGCCCTACATCATTGTCACCCCAC